ATCTTTGATACGCGCACACTGCGAATCGAGATCACCGCCAATAGTTGAGCCAACCAAGGATGACAGCGAGGCTTGGCACCTGGTTAAAATCGCAGGGTTTTGTAGATTCGCGACGTCCGGTCGGTACAGAGCGCGCTTAGGTGACCATCCGAAACGCATGCAAATCTTAGCACGAACCAATGCGTGATCGGAGTCTAGACAAGTTGACCAGTACGATCGGCAGTCCGTTAGGCTTCCGCGCCATCTGTAGCTGATTGCTATGTGGTCAAGCTGGGAGCACTCTTGCACCAGGTAGCAGTGTGTCTCCTCCAGTGCCGAAAACTAGTGCTCGAAAGAAACAAGCGATGATCAGAGAAAAGAGCAAGAAGTCTGTCTCCATTCTCTGATCGACTGCCACCGAGATCAAAACTACCCCCAAGGTGGTGCTCGCTTGGTGGAAGACGGCCAACCCATGCGTTAAAGTCCCCGGCAAGAATGACTATATCAGTCCTTTTGGAGGAACGCAGAAGTTCATGTAGTTGCTGGTAAAAGCTATCTTTAACTGCATCCGGGCTGCAGTCTGTAGGCGGGGACGACAAACAAGGCCCGCTTAACGTCTCGACGCCTGCTTACGTTACATGAACCTCGTAGTCTGACTGCACATAGCCGACTGTTGACTGAGATCCAGCCAAGCAGAGCTGACTCAGCCCTGGCACTCAGTACAACCCAACACCAGCTTGACCAGTGGCGGCAGCTTCTGGGTCTCCAGAAAGCCGCAAGTAGTATTTGGCGTCAGAGTTTACCGGAGAGGCCATTCTGATGACGGCGCTAGAGTCTTGTAATCTGGTCTCTGAAAGGCAACAGATGTCTACCGAAAGCGATTCAAGAGTACGGGCTAGACATGATTGTCGTCCGATCCGCATCAAAGTTCGAAAATTAAACGCAGCGAGGATGAATGGAGAACCAGGTCGAAGAAGAGCTGGAGATTCGGTGGAATGAGAGGCGGTTGCGATCGCAGGGCATTGAAAACCGGGAGTTTTGCTGTTACTTCCATCAGCTGCGATAAGTGGGTCGTTTGTGACGGTGACCGTAGAAAACATAAGAGTACATGTGGGTGAAGGATGGGAGGTGGGCTGATCTGTGAGTGGAGGTTGAGTTAGCACAGAAGATAGGCATATCAGTAGCAGTAGTAAGCGGTGTGGTCCATGATTCGTCAGTGGGCGTGATACTACCAGTTTGCCCAGGCCGAAGTAGAGGGTTGTCTTAGGGGGCCTTACGCCGAACCTTTGATCAAAGATCTAACCTACAAGGCAGCAGGGCGATGTGAGGGCGTCGCAACCTGTTGGGAGCCGGTGACCAAATAGATGGTTCATACGCCTTTCGGTCCGTGAAGGACCAGGGGCCCAACGCACCCTTAAATTACAATGCCTCTCAGGGAGAGGCAAGGGGCAGTGACTTTATTTAGTGGCGAGTCACGTCCGCCACATCGCAGTGTTGTTAAACGGACATTTGGGGCTTTTTATAGGGAGAACGCTTGCCAGGCGCAAACCCACCACGTCCTGGAACACTGCCACTGACTGGAGGACAACGTGACTACCCAAACTGTTCTTAAACATTAACTACGTCAATGTGGCCCCACTTCCGATATTTTTTCCCCCATCGTCTGATGGGGGATCTAAATTTACCCAACGTGTTCTGGCCCGACGTTCGGCTTCTTCCCGGTTATGGCAAGGTTGAGGCTCAATTCCTTAAAATGATTATTGGAATCGGGGCAACGCAACATGTCGTCCAACCGACGCGAGTAACTCCCCACCCGGAAGCTTGTCTAGACCTTATGTTTACGAGCTGCGAGCAGAAGCTGAGCGAGGTCAGAGTCCTCGAACCTCTGGCGAACAGTGACCACTGCTCCATTTTGGCAAGCTTTGAACTGTCGTTACCGTCTTACAACCAACAGAAGCCGACATTCAACTAGTGAAAGACGGACTTCAACGGGCTCCTGCAAGCCGGAAGCCAGACTGATTGGGCACTACCACAGGATGCGTTGCTTGAGTCCTGTTGGAAATTAATGAAGGGAAGCTTAAGTCGCTGTGTACTCGGTTCGTTCCCCTGAAGTATTCAAAAGTCGGACCTGATAAACCGCATTGATTTGATACAGACAGTTAGTCCGACGGCGTCGCAAACTTTGGTATAGGTACATCAGCTAGGGTGGTCATGAAGATTACACGGTGTACAAGAAACAGCGCAATTTTTGTAACGCGGCAAAGATCAAGAAACGCCGGCAGTTCGAAGAGAAGCTAGCATCTTGGGCCACAACTGCATCCAAAAGAATATTTGCCTACTTGAAACATCAACCGACACCTGCAGACGACCTACCGGTCTAAGAGAGACTGGACGGACTAACGCCAATTTCAAGCGTGGACGGCTTGGCTACCCACTTCCTCATCGTATTTCTCAGTAAACCGGCGGCTGTTACAGTACCGGCACAAGTTGCGCCAGTCTTAATCGACAGCCTACAATGTGACGCAGTCGAAGTGCATCAGCTACTGGCCAATCCCAACGGTGCAAAGCTGCCCGGAACAGACGGATTTCACCCACTAACACACAAGTCCTTATCAAATGTCACCTCACCAGCCGTGACAAACCTATACAATAAAGTACTCTCTGAAGGATCTTTCCCCAACGACTGGAAATGCTTGATAGTGTGACCGCTTTGCAAGGGTGGTGATCCAAATAACGTAGAGAACTATAGACCGATTTGTTTGACTTCTATATTAACCAAAGTTCTCAAAAAGGTTGCGAAAAGTGTCTGCTGTCGTTCTTCGAATCAATGGACGTATTGATGCCAGCGCAACACGGCGTTACGAAAGGGCGAGCTTGCATCACCAACTTGATGTACGCAAACCACCAGTGGGTACGAACTCTCAACGAACGGAAGGATGTTGACGTGGCGTACATCGATTTTAGTATGGTGTTTGACAGAGTGAACCACGACGTACTCCTTCATAAACTGAGGACCTACGGTGGCACGTTACTTCAGGGGTTACGCGAGTTTATTGTGAGACGGGAGTTTAGAGTACAGGTCAATGGCTATCTGACAGACTGGTTCTCATCGGCCAGTGGCGTGCCCCAAGGAACTGTACCTGGGCCAGTATTATTTCTTATTCATATCAACAAACGCCCGCAGCAGCTCCAGTCACCATGTGTCCTGTTTGCAGATGATTTGAAAATCTGGAGGATCATTGAGAACCAGGACAACTGCGCTCGCTTCCAGCATGAGTTAGATCGATTGTCAACGTGGTACGCTGAAATGCAACTCCCACTTAACGCCAACAAGTCGGAGTTCATCAGTATCACTAGACGTCCAGCCACTCGATCATACACCTTGGACGGTTAGTTGCTCCACCCCAACACATCTGTCAGAAACTTAGGAGTGCTCTCGCGACATGATGAGACCACTAGAACATACAGAGAAATTGTACCGTGCGGGACTTCGTATGCTCTGGGCATCACGACGCAGTTTTTCCACATGGTCCGAAGAAACCGTCCCTCGCCTATTTACCTTGCTCATTAGACCAATCGTTGAATACCGTGCTCCAGCTTAGAAACCGATAACTCAGTGGGAAACTGAAAAGCTGGAGAAAACACAGCATATCGCAACTAGAATGATACCGAGTCTACGAAAGTTTCCGTAGGAAAAACGTTGTGAAATCTCGGGCTCTACACACTATCCTAGCGCCGAGTAAGGATTGACCTTGTTATGACCCATAAAGTACTACTACACTTAAATCACTTCCCCATACTGCGGCCAATATTTCACCTGCGGGAACCCTGTAATACCCGAGGACACCGTTACAAATTCAGGGTTCCCGATATGGACAACATATCACATTAGTTTTGTACAGAACGAAGAACAGTAAATTTATAGAATACACCACCAAAAGGACTAAGAGGCCGATTTTGTGAAGTGTTTTAAAACACGTATCGACGATTATTTCGGAAGACTGTGCTTTTGTGAAACGGTGCACATACAATGCAAAAAATACATCCTATACCCGGAAATAATGACACCAATACGAGTTCCTAACCAAACAAGAATAAACGAGTAACTGATCAAACACTAAGGCTGACGATCCGAAATTAGATACTTCCGATTTTTCATAATTCGATAGTTTTACAGAAACCTTTCTACCTGCTTTTAAATACAGTCTCAGTAACTGAAAACGCCTGTGGGCTGATGGGACGTGACAGCGGAGACTCTGAGGAAACATTTCTTAAGCAAACATCCCTATTGTACCCCTGAATGAGCGCCGACTATCGACAGTTCTGATACGTGAGCAGGATACATATCTAAATGTAATCCGCACCATTATATACAAGTAAAAATGCAAAGCAACAATAAAAAGCAGAAGTTAAGAGGTATAAAAACAAACATTTATGGATCAAAAGAGAACCCCAAGGGAGAAGAAAAGAGGGAAAGACAGCGAATGAGTAAATCATCACGGAAAAAGATAAGAAAGAGGCAACGGGACCGGGCTAGACCACCTCGAATTTTTCCGTATAAAGCCGTGTCTCAGAAGAAAATGGGATTGGATTGCCATCGGAGTTGGTGGCTTCCGTTACCTACACAAGGTGTCAAGAGAGATAGGGTTTAACAATGTAGCTGTTAAGAGAAAGATGGAGGATGACGTATGGTTACATAAGTGTGACATAGCACGGATTAAATGGGTGTTAGATTTGATGGTTCAGGGAAGTGGAAATCAAATCAGCTAGAGATAAAGCATCTCATAGTATAAAGGATAATGGTAAGCTTAGAGCGCAGCTCGATTCCAGGTGCTGGCGAGCATCTCCTGGTGAGAGACACGTGGCGGATTGGAAGACGGCAAGCTACGGTAATGCATTCAAAAAGTTTACAAATAATCTATTAAATGCAGAAAGACTGAAGCAAGTGAGTAGAATTTGTAGTGAAGGAAAGCGGAGCTTAACGATTTTTCAAAGCTAAGACTTGCATCAGGGTTTGGGTTATGGTATTAGGAAAGGGAAGCCTTTGGTTGCTAGGTATGTTAACTGACGAGTGGGAGTGCAAATCAGTCCAATGACCGAATTCGTTGTGCATCGGTGTATAGAAAACATCAAATCATTACTCCTGTTCATAGACCATAAGTCATGGGGAAATCGGAAGGGGATACCTCGATCGGTGGAGCGTGCAAGTTATGAAGGCAGTGCCCGAAGAAGAGCAGCAATAGCTGCCCGATGTGATCGTGGGATACTAATGAAACCTTTCCGGTCTCACTGTAGTACATTTAAGAATCGCAAGTGTTGGGGTGTTTCAACTTTGGTAAAATGTTATTCGCGGATGCAACATAAGACTGGTGAGTTAAATAACTCGGAATGTGGAGTGATTTCGCAGTCAGCCCTGTGAATTTTGACATTCATAATGATCGTTTCTGACCGTAGTAGATCATGTTCACCTATGTCTAGTCAACGGACAAAGGAAAAGAAACCAAAATTCAGCTCAAGGATTTCTCAAGCTGTAGAACAGGAAGACCAGTTGGAATAAGGGGCATGGCCCAGCCTGTAATGGCAGGTTCACATGTACTGTACAAGCACGGTGAAGTGTGTGAAAAAGATAAAATTACAAAAAAGAACACACCCGAATACCACAAAACGATTTATCCGTGCTAAAACTGAGTGTCAGCGGAAAGAACTGGTCCGCGGTAGCCGTCGATTCAGTGCCCACCGTGAATTCAATGGAACCAGATGTATTGGAGGCGTTGATCAAGGGCAAAATCCAACTCAACTGCGTTTTCTTTGCATTCACTTCATATTCGCCATCGTAATTTCCTACGGAAGGAGATTTGGAACCAGAGCTGAAAACAGAAAAGATGGGGACAAGGTAAAGACAATGGGTTGACGATAAGATTATATAGTTGGCGGCATCCGGTTCCGGATTTGCCTGTAACTGCACCCTCAATAGGACAATCACAACACGCCTGCGCCTACAGAGATAACATGGGTGGCTTGCGTTGCGCCACGTACAGCTCCATCCACACACCCATATGCAGTGTAAACCCGAAGGAACAAGAAAGGGAGACATGTGGATGGGAGCCAGGTTTCATCAACGGAGCCGCCCCACACCCCCTTTAGCATGCATCACATCATACTTACCAGTCTAATTGGGAAATCAAGCACAACAGACGTACAAGAGGCAATGGCTGGGCCGTAGTCCGCTTCACACAGGATGCAACTGCACTTTGAGTCTAACACGGTCACGAGGACCGTGAACCCCGTCCCATCAAGCAAAGGCTAACTGTCTCCTAAAGTCAGCGATTTTTTGACAGGTAGGCACCTTGTCAACCTTCACATCTAGCGCAGCCACACCGGGGACATCAAACAGTAACCGTAGAAATTAGGGGAAAGAAATAAGTAAACTGGACTGGACGGAAAAATCGTATGCTCCAAGAACTGAAGCCAAGCTCATCGTTTAGACCAGTGTTATATCACAACAAACAAGTGGCCTCCGTTAAAAGTTGACGCATAACGTCCACGTGAACAGAGACATTGTAAGGAAAGTAAAGCTACAGCGGCGCCATAAACATTTAACACTGAGAATGACAATTGGGCTTTGGTAGTACGAAGGAAGAGGTTCACAACTAGTCACTAGATAAATGCTGTCCACCATCCGTTCGAGTTGTATGCTCTCAAGAGGTGAGCACAGGAATAGATGGTTGCCAATACTGAAGCGAAAGGTCAAAGTTTGAAGGAGTAAGAACGCGCGCTGACTTAAGAACACTGTGATGATCCTTATATCAATTAATGGATGAGAGACAGATGATCTTTTATATACGCTGCGTGAGGTACCTAAAGTTGACAGAAGACGCAAAATTTCCGCCCCGGTGCATACAATGCAAGAAACAATCTGCAACGTTAATTATGGCTGAAAAACAAAGCTCTAATCATTATTCACATGAAGCTCTACGTCTGGCAAGTCAGCAGCACAATCTGCGAAAGCCAAGACGGCAGACTGGTTCTTACTGAGATCACCAGCAGTGCACGTTTATTGAACTAGGGGGACCGAAGCTGTGGCTTTGGTTACGTGAACCATATGTGGCTACGCTGGATCAACGACGGAGGTCGTGATCGATGTGCCAGTGTAAACACACATTAATTCGACAAAACCGAAGAGATGAGATCGCTCAGCCAAAAATGTGGATCGGAGAAAAACAAAAAGCAATTAGACGATGAGTTAAGGATTGCAGTCAGTGGGCCAAGTATTAACCATAGTAGAGCGGTGACCAGTTCTTCTGACATTGTTTGAAAAACCGGCAGCATCTTGCATAGGCTAAATGCAATAGCATGAATAGGTAAACACATACGGCAATGGGACGTTCACGACGGCATCGCATAGTTCCAGTTCAGTATTCTGTAACTCATATTCAATGTTCACCTCAAATCCCCCACGAATTTCATTGGGCCAGCAATTAACTGAAACAAGTAAAAAAACACCAAAATCACGAAGATAAAAGAAGAACGATTGGTCAGAGTATAAAGTAACAAAAAATCAACGCTCATATGGGGTGCAAGCTGATGGAATGTATGTGGGCCAACAAATAGAAAAATCTCAGCTAAAGGAGATAAAATATTAGCAGTTAAGGAGAGAAATAGAGACTAATTCAGATGAGGACATGATTGACACTGGGATCATCGATGGTGTAGACTCAAATGCACCAACAGGTGCAGAGCTAAACAGACGATCATGAAAATCGGCACGAACGATGAAGGAATGTATAAGTCGGAAGTTTAAATACACTCGCCGGAAAGTTGAGCTGCACAGAGAAACTACGCCGAAAAGTCTGTGGTATACATTGGATTTAGGAAAAAAACAGAGTACTCGTCTCTAATCTTCCTAAGTTTCCCGTAAACCATCTTGCTTGGTGGGCAATGAGTGACTGCGTCAAAAAAGCACGTTCGCCCTGCAACCACAATGTAGTGGCGGATACCTCGGAGATTTGAGCTTGACAAAAGGCTATATTGAAGAGAACGCAACAGAGAGTAAGCGGTGGTAATCCTGAAGAAACATTTGAATGATAGCCAAGTGAGTGGAAAAATGACAGCTGCGTGTGTTGTAGACCCAGTAAACATATTCTCGGGTTCAATGCTAAAAATCGTCTTTCAAAAAACAGGGGTGCATAAAGAGCCACTAAAATTTCATACAGCTATTTCCATTCAAAAACTTGAAGATGGCAAGAACATCTGAGTGGGATGATCAGAATTCACACTATTTCGTATTTTGTCAGTCAGCCGCGTACAGACAAATAGTGAAAGGATTAAAGGAATGTAAGTGAAAAGGGATCAATAGGACACCGAGAAATTCAAGATCATCATATATATATATATATGTATATATATATATATATATATATATATATATATATATATATATGGTTGGCGGCATCCGGTTTCGGATTTGTCTGTCACTGTGGCCAGCTAAAGGACGCCTGCGCCTACAGAGGGACCAGGGTGGTTTGCGTTGCACCACCAGTAGCGCCATCCACACACACCATATCCAGTGTAAACACGAAGGAATAAGACCGGGAGGCATGCGGATGGGAGACACGTTTCATCAACGGAGCCGGCCCACACTCCTTCACAGGCAAACACAATCACGCTGTAGTTGAGGAATCAAGCGCACACAAGGCGGTGGCTGGACCGTAGTCCGCTCCACACTGAGTGCATGGAACCACTCTTTGATCCGAACACGACCACAAGGACCGTGCACCCCGTCCCCTCCAGCAACGACCAACTGTCTCCTGGAGCCAGATGGACGAAGTTGTGGGTAATAGGTAGGCACCTTGTCAACATGCACATTAAGCGCAGCCACACCTGGGATGTCAAACAACAGCCAATCATTCGAAAGGCCGATATAGAATAAAGTAAACGCATATGACGACATAAATAGTCGCTAAATGTGCATATGGAAGGTGGTTAAATGTGAATACGCGATAAGTACAAAATGTCCGAAAGTTAGTTAAAACATTCCAAGCGCGATAAAATTACGCAAGTTGACTACAATTTGCATGAGCGACGTGTGTCAGTTGGGAGAAGATTATCAAGTACGCAGAGTAAACCAAATAAAATGTAATGAATTTTATCCACATTAAAAAGACCTAATTTAAGTGTAAGTTGGTTTAGCCCAACTGCGGTGAAGAAGCATCAAGAATGCAACATCAGCCTCAGCATGGGGCATATATATATATATATATATATATATATATATATATATATATGGCCTGTGGCTATTGCAGGGAAGGTTTTCCATGGAATTTTGCGCAACTCTCGGAATTAATGGTGCATAAGTTAAGCAATAGCAATAAGCCGATCAGATACGCTCTCTGAGATCAAGGATTGCAACAGAAAAAAGAGAAGCCTACAATTCAAGGGAGAATACGGTAGCGTGCTGCCTGTAGATATCATAATCATTCAGAGATCACCACCCAAGAAGTTGAAATCAGCGGGTATCCTTGCTTCGGCTGTAATAGGCAATCAAATGACCGCGGTGGCGTGATGCTTAACATACAGCGTTCCTTGTGCGACAGACTCGTGAGCATCTATAAAGGCGGTAATGGACTGTGTGAAGCGCTATGGTGTTCGATCCACCTGAGAGCGGCGAACACCCTGTGGGTCTTGTGTCGCAGTCCACTGAGTCGCAGCTTGAACTGGTTGCTTTATGTGCGCAATCACATGAGTCATCCGCAATTCCTGCTCATGGGCCATTTCAACAGTCTTCGAATACGGTGGCCCGAGGTCGAGCTTCTTCCCGGCCACTGCGAAGTCGAGACTAAGTTAGCGGAGATGATGTTTGAAACAGAGGCCACGCAGCACATCAATCAGCCGAAGCGCATTATCGCGTGCTCGACTCCATCGTGTCCGGACCTGTTGCTGACCAGTTGTGATCAACGTGTGCGTGATGTTCAAGTCCTAGAGACCCTGGCAAATAGTGATCACTCGATGGTCATGGAGAGCTTAGAGCTGCCACTGCCGTTTACTCAGTGGTTTGACAAGGAGTATGGCAAACTGGCTCGACTGCGACGCCGGCTATGGAATAAATTCGTGTAATCTGGCTCTGCCGAGGATTACGAGGCGAAGTGTATCCATTTTATTTGACATACCTCAAGCTAACAATTTTCATCTCCCAATCAATTTGTTGGAGCTCAACTGGATGAAAAGAATAAGATGTCATAATTGTTGGGGTCACCATAGTCAAGATGTGATTATCAGAAAAAAGAGTGAAGAAACCTTGGTGCCGGTTGCAGGTAAGAGGAAGATTAAACAGAGAAGATGGGAGTGATTAGATGGTGCATACACATATGAAGAACGAATGTCATAAACAATCAGGACTTAACACGTGCGTCATTTGAGTTAACCTAGAAGCGCTAGGCAGGTGTGTACAGCAATAATGTATGAAAATACGAAGCGAATGATAGCATACAGGTGATCGAAAGAACCGATTCATCCTGCGTCTGAAGTCGCCACCGTAACACGCCAACTTCTTGTTCAACAGGGAGCGCCTTGCCACCAGATTTTATTTGAAGCCAACTTGTAGACTGCGCGAGTGGGGAGGGAAAGGAAAATGAAAGAAACGAGTCCATAGTGGAACGACTAAAGACGGATCAAGCACTGTAGTGCCTGAGCCCATATTTTCAGTGATTCAACTAAAACCGGTAAATGTTTCAATCAGAAGAACAGCGACAGTAACCATTTAAAAGTCTGTCTTCATCGGATAGACACAAAGATACGAAGGAGTTAAGAGCAGCTTGCAAGTAACAGGGATAAGGCAAACCTAATGAACTAGGTCCGGCATTTAATAAAAGGGGATTGGCTAAGGAGAATCGGTAAACAAGAGATGTGGCACCCTGCAGAGTTGGGATGATGAAAAACAGCGAACAGCAAAACAGCAGTGGCGATACAATAGCTGAGAAAGATGTACTATTGATCCATTCTCAGAGTCATCGACTGGTCCGTCGGGAGGAACATTTTGAAGAGCAGTCCAGCAGGCCTGCTGAGACACTGCTGGATGCCGAATTACCTGAGCCGAGGTGGGAAGTAGATGTCACACCTCCCACTTTAGAAGAGACCAGACATGAGCTTTCCATGTTGAAATGAAACAAGACTCATAAACCTGACGATTTTCCTCCATCTTTGCTGAAAGATGGCAGTGACTCTTTGTTGACTAAACTTGCTTCGCTTGTTAATATGATTTGGGACGCAGACGAAGTGCCTTGAGACTGGCGACTATCAACTGTCGTGCCCATCTTCAATAGGGGTCAGCGTACTTTGTGCGAAAGTCATCAAGGCATTATTTGCATTGTCTCAAAACTCCTCACGCGTATCATTCACCAACGACTTACTGGTCCCAGTGAAAACCGAGTCACTGAAAGCCAGAGTGGCTTCCGCTCCGGATGTGCTTACATCGACTACTTAGATACTCTTCGCGAGGTTCTAGAGCCGCAAAATATATACAGACGACCGACTATGGTGATTTTCCTTGACTCGTAAGCTGCGTTCGACTCCGTTGACTGAGCCAGCTTGTGGCACTGCCCATCCATGAAGGGCATGCCAGCTAAACCCCTTTCCATTTCGAAGTCCCTCTACCGTGATTCCCGAGGCCGTGTAAGGGTCTACGGGAAACTGTCTCCCGAGTTCTCCACTACAAGTGGGGTTCGCCAGGGTGGTCCTATATCTCCTTTCGTCTTCAAGATCGTTATCGAAATGACCCTGCGTGACTTCGTGCTTTCAGACTCTACCGGAGAGGAAGTTCTGACAGGCGACCGACTGGCAAACCTGGAGTATGAGGACAACATAGTTCTTCTTGGGTCTGATGCATTGGCTATGTAAACACTACTGCATAAACTTGTGCGTAGTGCTGCACGCTTCGGCATGTACTTTGCACCTTCAAAGTGTAAAGTGCTGTTGAAGGAGTGGGACGACAGACGTCCGGTTTTAGCTATTTCAGAACAGCCACTGGAAGTGGTGTATTGTCTCACTTACCTTGGTCGCTGTGTCACCTCGGGTGGTCACATCACTGAGGAAGTTACTTCGGGTATCAGCAAGACCCGTGTGGTTTTCCAGAGGTTTAATCATTTAGGGAAACACTGGGATATCAGCTTGTAAAAGATAGGGTGTACAACGCTGCGATAAAGCCTGTGTTACTGTATGGATCAGAGAACTGGCCAGTTCGCAGCGAAGACATTAAACGCTTGGACGTGTTTGGCTACCGGTGCTCACGTCTGATGGGAACAACGAGTAAGCAATCATGAGGTACGGGTTAGTTTTCGGTAAGAAGCCTTATGTTGCCTCTCGAGTAATGGCTAAATCTTAGTCGCTTGCGTTGGTTAGGCCATGTACCCCGTATGCCTGTTGATCGGCTCCCTCAGCGTGCATTATAGGCCGTGATTGCACCAAGTTGAGTGAGACCGCGAGGTGGCCAGTCCACGACACGCTATAGTGGCAGTAAGAAGTTGATTGAGAGACTTAGTCAGGTAAAAGCGTGCCGTCTTCATGGATGTGGACATTGAAATGGTTCACACTAATGGTTAGAGACCGTATCTGACATGGTGCAGTCAGTGGCACTTTTGCATTCGATTTCGTGCATCTGGTTACTAATTTGTGTTCCATTCTGATTAGTTTAACGCACTTCCTCCTTGCTTCGACTTTCTTTTGCCTTGAACCTCACTATGTTACTGTTGTGTTGCGATGTGAGCCGTGGCAACTGCAGCCACCGCACTTCGGTGCTCGGATCGTAGTTGCTGAAGTGAATTGAAGTGGTCAGACCATCTGAATATGAAACCGAAGCTGCGATCTATCAAACTATGGCCAAACAGAACACGGACACACTACTACTGTAGACGTGAGCCGGAATTCAGCGACATCATCACCAGCAGCATCATTATACATGTCGGCAAGAGGTGGTGAAACACCTACGCTATTGTACGGCAATACATAAAGGAAATACAGACGTACATACAATACATAAAGGAAAAAATAAATACGACAGTTGCATGCCAGCTGAGCTACCAGCAACGGATAGGCATCGTTCCGGTAAGCTACCAGCCAGCTACTAGGCAAAAAATTTATTATGTTTTACCCTACGAAATGAGATCGTAGATGGAGGGGGTCATCATCATCATCATCATCAACAGCAGTACATCAGCCATTTGGACTGATGCTTCGCTGCCATACAAACATGAGGACCTATGAAATAAAGAATAAGAAGAGGGAGAGAAGGGGGATTTAAATGAAAACCTTAATGCCGTAAGCAAACATTCGTGGCTAAGGCGCCGACACCTTGTGTAGACAACATACCGTCACAAACAGCTGGCTATCGTGCAAAGATAAGGCGGCATCGGCGAGACAGCTTCCTTGCGGCTTTCATTGCCCCGCGTCATAATCAGCCATTACCCCGCAGATAACTCAGCAACAAATACACTTTAAACAGACAATCCGATTAGGAGACGGCAGCAGACGCGCCACTGGTGTCTGTTGCGAGCCATGTCCTGCAAAGTCTCGAGCCAAACACAAGGTGAGTCACGTGGACTCCAGCCCGGAAGGCGAGACGGACAAACTGCACCCAGTTTGGTTGTCAGTGACTTCATTTCCCGCTGCGAAGTCAACTTCTGTCCACCTCGAGCCTTGCGCCATCCTACACCTGGTAGACTGAACAAGGCCCTCCTAGGTAAGCGGTGACCAGGCATGCGTAGCACGTGCCCGAGCCAACGCAACTTATTCAGTGCTATCTGTTGTTCTAGAGAGCTAGCATGATTATCATCACCTACTACTCGCCTACGCACATCATCGTTGCGGACACGCTGGTGTCATCCGACACCAGCAATGCCTCACAAACAACGATGATCAAAGACTTGAAGGCGCCTCAGATCTTCAGACGGAAGGGGCCAAGTCTCACTATCATAGAGCAGAACGGCCCTCACTGTGGCCTTGTATACACGGCCTTTCAGACGAAGGGAAACTCCCTTCTGTCGCCAAAGATGACGCAGGTTCAAGAAGGCAGCTCTGGCCTTTACATTGCGTGAGCTCACGTCAGTTTCTATGCGCCCATCATGGCTGATGCAGCTGCCAAGATAAGTGAATTGATCAACCACCTCGAGTTCCTCGTTAGCAAGCGTCAAGGGGGCATCAAATGGCTAGTGGTCCTGCAGCAACACTTTGCACTTTGAAGGTGCGAAGTGCATACCAAATAATGGGACCACTCTGGATAGGCTATTCAGGGTTGACTGTGCCACCTCAACATTGTCGAAAAGCAAGACGATATCGTCCGCATAATCTAGGTCAACCAACCTTTCACCAGGCAGCACTTCAACGCCTACACCGCTGGATTCCGCAAGGGAACAATCCATGATAGAATCCACGACGAAATTGAACAAAAACGGGGAAATCGGACAACCCTGACGAACGCCACTTGTAGTCGAAAAGCTATCCGATAGGGCACCATATACCCTGACGCGGCCTGTAGTGTTCGAGTATAGAGCACGAAGGATGTTCACATATTTCGTGGGAACACCTTTCCGCGCAAGTATTTCGAAAAGAATCGATCGATCGACCGAATGGAACGCACTCTTGAAATCGAGGAACACAGCTATTGTCGGTCTGCGGTATGCGTGGCGCTGCTCTAGCACCTGCCGCAAAGTAAATATATGGTCTATACAGCCACGTCCTGGGCGGAAACCGGCCTGCTCTCCCCTAATCCGAGATTCCCGTTCTGCAGTGAGGCGAGGAACGATAATCGAGGCCAGTAATTATGTCACAACTGGCGTCAGGCTAATACCTCTGTGGTTCGAACAGTCTGTGCGACTGCCCTTCTTGTATATTGCCACTATAATCGATTCGCTCCAATTAGCCGGCACACTCTCTTCGTTCCAGATACGTTCGAATAGGGAGGTCAGTGCCATGCAGAGGACCTCACCTCCATCCTTAAATAGTGCAGGTGGGAGGGAATCCGGGCCAGCGGCACGAAAACGATTAAGGGCTGTGATCGCGTTTCGGACCTCGACCTCCGACGGAGGCTCTAAACTAACCGTCCATGGCACGTCCTGCATCACCTGAGTAGGAAGAGGTCCGGGAGCAGGGGGCCAGCTGAACTGATCTTAAAAGTGTTCCGCCCAACGAGCCATACGGCGCTTTTTATTGTGCACCAGCGCACCCGCGCAGTCCCTGATTGTCTCACTGACGCCTGGTTTTCTGGGACCAGTGGTGCGGATTAGCTGGAAGAGCTTGCGGCAATTGCCTACTGCTCCTGCCTCCTCCATTTCTTGAGCCCGACTGGTCCACCAGGCTTCCTTGTCAGCACGTAGGCTCCGCTTTAGTTCACGCCTAATAGCCCGTCTGGTCACATTGTGTTCAGAACCAGCCGGGAGGTGTCTTCTAGCTTCCAACAGGTTCACCGACCTCTCCGATATCCAGTGACTGGTGCGGTGACGACTGATAGTGCCACAAACAGATGCTCCTGCGTCGTGCATAGCGGCCAAGATCCTATTCCACTGAAATTCAGTGTCATTAGGACAAGACATCGAGAGTTCGCTATGCAGTGCTT